GTGTATGGCACTGGTAGAATTCACTGTGCAACCCCGCGGTCAGTGAATTACCATAGGGCCATAAACAGAGCAGAGAAAGACCCGCGAGCCCCGCGGGGCCGTCGCCGACGCCGCCTGGCCCGTTTTGGCACTAGCACATTTTTGCTTTGATTTGTAGCTTTTGAGCAATTATGTGTAGTGCCAATATGGGAGAGGGCGGGGAGAGCAGCGCCGGGCCGGGCACGGAGCAGCAGCGTCGGGGTTTTGGTGGGGGATGCTGGCATGGGGTGCTGGAAACGCCTCTGGGATTGCTGGGGTCAGGGGGCATGTCCATCACAGCCACGCCGTGCTGGCATTGAGGGGGTGTCCACCCCAGCGGGGTGTCCCAGCCCACGGGGACACCTCGGCCAGGCCGTGTCCTCGTGGTGGCCACCAGGAGCAGGATGGACCCCACACCTCTTGTCCCCTGCACTGGTGACCCCCTGGGGTTGAGCCGAGCGTGCCCACGGGCGATCTGGAGCCACGTCTGGGTGAAATCATTCATTTTTGCAGTTTTTTGCAGCTTTGCAGGCGTGGCACCGTGGCTGGGTGTCCCTCGGTGTCCCCAGGCCGGGCCTGGCTGCCCCCGGGGCTGCCTTTGGCAATGGTAGAACTCACACTGGTGCGGTAGCAGGATCCGGTGGTTCTAGACTTGCCAACTACGGCCCTGGGGCACCGCCGCGGGCACGAGCGTCCCCCCGGTGTCCCTCGGTGTCCCCTGGTGTCCCCTGGCAACCCCCGGCCCCCAGGGCTCTGCTGCCGGGCTGGGAGGGCCCCGCGGGGTCCGGGCAGGGCCCCGCTCCACCCGCGTGGATTTGGGGGATGCTGTGGGTGCCCTGCACACGGGGTACGGGGGGATGGGGACACTGAGCTGCCCCCCAGCCCGAGAGGGGGGTCTGGCATCCCAGCCCGCCTCCATGGCAGGGGGAGAACGGGATCTGCGGGGTACCGGGCACGGGAGCAGCGTGGCCACGTGTCCCCGTGTGACTCCGGGTGTCACGGGCAGGGCCCTGCGGGGGTGGGAGTGGGAAACCTGCCCCTGCCCCTGCCCCATCCCCGGATCCAGCCTCAGATCCAGCCCCAGCCCCGGATCCAGCCCCAGCCCTGGATCCAGCCCCAGATCCAGCCCCAGCCCTAGACCCGGCCCCTGCTCCTGGATCCGGCCCCTGCTCCTGGATCCGGCCCCTGCTCCTGGATCCGGCCCCACTCCAGCCCCGTGCAGGGAGGAAACTGAGGCATGGATGAAGCCGCTGGCGGTGGCGGCTGCCCCATGTCCCCCCTGCCTGTCCCCGGTGTGGGAGCAGGGATGGTGCCAGCTTTTAGGGACAGGGAATGTGAGGGAGGGGCAGCTGCGGGCTGTGCGGGGGTGGGGGCCGTGCACGCCCCTTCCCCCACGGCCCGGCTGGGCTGGGATGTGCTGGGTATGTAGGGCAGCCCGGGGTGATTACGGAGCTTTGGCATAAGCCCGCGGAGATTGGATCACGCGGGATTAGGCTGCAGGCTCCAATCATCCTCCCTGTGCTGGGGGCAGGGAGGGACGGACAGACGGACGGATGGGGGTCCCCGTCGCCCTGCTGGGGCAGGTGGGGGCTGTGGGGGCACAGGTGTCCGTGTGTCTGTCTGGCTGTTCATCTGTCTGCTCGTCCAGGTAACAAACACCCAATATTCCCGCAGCCACGTCCATTGGCTGTACAGACAGCCATCCCTGTCTGTCTGTCTGTCCAGGTGTGGAATCATCCATCCATCCTCCTGCCTTCCCGAGCCTTTCCATCTGTCTGTCCACCCACCTGTCCGTCCGTCCATCCCCTGACCCATCTCCCAGTCTGTCCGTCTGTCCATCCCTCCCTCCCCCAGTGCTGGATTTAACCCCACCCCCACTCTGCTGGGGGGGATTTGGGGGGGTCAGGGGTGGAGCATCCCTGGCCACACCCCCAGGAGCCCCGCCCCTCCCGAGGCTCCACCCCAAAGTGGGCGGTGCCCCCAGGATCAGCATTCCCCAGGATCAGCGTTCCCAGGGATGAGCGTTCCCCAGGCTCAGCTCCCTGGGGGGAGCCCCCCAGGACCCCCCCTCTCTCCTGGCCCTTCCCAGCTGCCCACCCTGAGCACCCCCCTGCATTTTTGGGGTCAAATCCTGCATTTTGGGGCCTCCTTGTGCAGTTCAGGGCCCTCCCTGGGCACGGCAGTGCCGGGATGGGGGTGGAGGCAGAAAATCCACACAAAGACCCCCCCAGTGCCGGGGGGACCCCCTGTGACACCCGGGCTGGGGGAGGGAATGGTGCAGCCCCACCAGTCTGTCCCAGTATGGAATGGAGTTACTGGTGCAGGGTGCAGCCCCACCAGTCCCTCCCAGTGTGGGATGGAGGTTACTGGTGCAGCCCCACCAGTCCCTCCCAGTACAGGGTGCAGGTTACTGGTTCAGGCTCCATCCCACCAGTCCCTCCCAGTATGGGATGGAGGTTACTGGGGTGCAGGTTACTGATTCAGGCTCCAGCCCCACCAGTCCCTCCCAGTATGGGATGCAGGTTCCCAGTCTGTCCCAGTATGGGATGCAGGTACCAGTCCCTCCCAGTATGGGATGGAGGTTACTGGTGCAGCCCAAACAGTCTGTCCCAGTATGGGGTGCAGGTTACTGATTCAGGCTCCAGCCCCACCAGTCCCTCCCAGTATGGGATGCAGGTTCCCAGTCTGTCCCAGTATGGGATGCAGGTTACTGGTTCAGGCTCCAGCCCCACCAGTCTGTCCCAGTATGGGATGCAGGTTACTGGTTCAGGCTCCAGCCCCACCAGTCTCTCCCAGTATGGGATGCAGGTTCCCAGTCTGTCCCAGTATGGGATGCAGGTTACTGCTGCAGCCCCACCAGTCTGTCCCAGTATGGGATGGAGGTTACTGCTGCAGCCCCACCAGTCTGTCCCAGTATGGGATGGAGGTTACTGGTGCAGCCCCACCAGTCCCTCCCAGTATGGGTTCAGCCCCACCAGTCTGTCCCAGTATGGGATGCAGGTTACTGGTTCAGGCTCCAGCCCCACCAGTCTGTCCCAGTATGGGATGCAGGTTCCCAGTCTGTCCCAGTATGGGATGCAGGTTCCCAGTCTGTCCCAGTATGGGATGCAGGTCACCAGTCTGTCCCAGTAGGGTGCGGGCTGTGGGTGCTGGGCTGCAGGAGCTGCCCCAGCTGAGGCCCCTCTCTGCTCATTAAAGGCCGATTAACGAAGATTAAAACCCCCAGCAGCGTCTGCCGGGCCCAGCCCCCTCCCCCGGCCCTGCTGCCACACCCGGGGCCCCTTTGGGCCCCCCCAGCCTGGCCTGGGCTGTCCTGGGGTCCCCAGAGGTCCCCGGAGCCCAGGTGACCCCCGCAGTGCCCCAGCCGGTGGGAACACCTGGGAGCATCCCCGGGAAGCGGCCCCATGGCTCCCGTCCTCCCTCTCCGGCTCCTTCCAGCTTTTCCTGCTCCTCCTGTGCCCCAGGAGCCCCGCAGGACCCCCTGGATGCAGCCACCACCCTTCAATAAAGCTGCTGGAACCCAGCCCTGCGTTTCCTGCCTCCTCCTTTTTGGGTTTGCACTCCCCAAAAAAACCATCGGGGTGAGAAGGGGCTGGAAATGGAGGAATTCACCCCAAAAGGCAGCTCAGCCCCTGGGGGGGAGCGTGGGGGGATGCTCTGGCACCCCGGGGTTGGTGCTGGAAGGTGAAAATGAGATAAATTTCATCAAAAAAAGGATTAAACCCCAAAACCATCCTGGTGATGCTCAGCTTCTCCTCCCCAGCCCCAGCACGGGAGCGGGGAGGGACCAAAGCCCAAAACAGCCACAGGAAGGGATTGATGGCAAATATTCCCAAAAGTGCCCCCAAATGCCCCAAAACAGGAGAGCTGGACAGCCGGGTAGACACATTTGTAACAATTTATTGAATGAGGCAATAATAGACACCGGGAAAACAAGGGGGGGTCCATGCTCTGCTATTTGCCTGGTTTTTGTCTTTTTTTTTTGGGGGGGGGGGATTAAAAGAACCTCATTTCATCGCCAAAGAAACACTGACTTGGAAAGCCACCGACATCTTCACAACGACGATAAAAAAATAATCATTAGAAAACAAAAACAAACCCAAAAAACTTCGGAAATTGGAGAACCAGGACAGTTTCTATGGAAAGATCTCCCTCCCCTCGGAAAAAGGACCCAAGAACTGTATACAAAGAACGTTTGATAGGTTTGTTTTTGTGGGTTTTTCTTTTTTTTCCCCCATATAAAACAAGTAAATACAAGAATCTGAAAACTTCCTCGAAGGCAGAACTTGAACGGCCACCTGGAAATCATAATAAAAAACCCCCAAAATAACCCCAAAAATGAAATCCCACGGGAAGTGCTTGCGGGAAGGGTGGGTTTGGTTGGGCACGAGGGGATGCTGAATAAAATCTGCCCCCCCAAAAGCACCCCACCCCACCCCAAAGGCTTTTGGAACCCTCCTGGGAAGGATTTTGGGGTTAAAACCGTGCTGGGCAGGAGCAGGACGGGCAGGGGGGACGGGGCCCCCAAAGGGAAGGGTCTCGCTCGCATCCCCCCTGCAGGCAAAGCTTTTCCTGGAGGAGCTGCAGGAGGAGAGGTCGGGGTGGCAGCAGGAACGGGGGGAGCCCGAGCTGGCTCCTTTCAGGGGGAAATCCCAGGAATGTGCTGGGGAAAGGGGGACACACAGCCAGAGCCCCTTTAGAGGCAATTCCGCTCCGGTCTAGAGCCACGAAATAATAATAATAACAACAACAACAACAACAATAATAATAATAATAAAGGAAAAAAAACCTCAAACCAACCCCAAGGATCTAAAATGGCAGGTACGAGGGCAGAGGAGGAGGAACAGGTCTCCAGTGTGCACCAAGGGGAGCCGAGCGGGATCCTCCGGCAGCTCCTGGCAGGGCGGCGTCCCTCGGGAGCTCTGCACCCCCTGCAGTCACACATGCACTTTATTTTCTTTTTTTTCTTCCCAGGAGAGGAGTCTTTTTTTTTTTTTCCTTTTTTTTTTTTTTTTTTTGTGTTTTTGTTTTTCCAGGGCGGGTTTTTTTTTTTGGAATATAAAAGTCCATATTAAAATCTTTGATACCTAATTTGCTGTCGAGGTCGGTGCTGGCTGAGGGTGTCCGTGCTGCCCCCCAGCCTCCTCCTGCTCGATCCCACGTGGGGGAAAACGGGGCGTAAAGGGTTGCTTTATTTTCATTTTCGTTTTCTTTCCAACCTCCTCAGAATCAAAGTCCCGTCACAATTTGGCTTCTCGTTCCTCCGAGAGCAGAGTGGCGCTAGAAAAATGCACTTTACACACATCCTCTGCCAGGATCTGGTTGTTTTTCTGTTTGTGTTTTTTTTTTTTTCTATTTTTCTCGATTTAAAAAAAAAAAAAAAAAAGAAAAAAGGTCAAAAAAAACCTTTTTCATTTCCAAAGCCGGGAGACTCAAATGCCAACCTGATTGCATCTCTGGAGAGGCGTAGAACAAAAAAGAGTGGAGGAGAGCAGGCGAGGGGGCCGGGGTCACTGGTCCAGGGTCACCACCTCCACGGCCTGGCCGTCCATGGTGACGGCCGTGTCGGCGATGCGCGTGGTCACCGGCGCCATGGCCACCTGCACGGGGCCGTTGCCCTGCGCCAGGCTGGTCACCACCGTCTGGTACATGCTGACCGGGATCTGCACCAGCCCTGCGGGACACAAGGGACACCGGGGGTCACAGGCAGCGGGGACGGGGGCTGCTGTGGCACGGGGGGATTTGGGGTTACCCTCCTGGAGGAGGGTGGGAGCTGTGGTACAGGGGGATTTGGGGTTATCCCTCCTGGAGCAGGGTGGGATGCTGTGGTACAGGGGGGATTTGGGGTTCTCCCTCCTGGAGCAGGGGGGGATGCTGTGGGACAGGGGGGATTTGGGGTTCCCCTCCTGGAGGAGGGGGGGAGCTGTGGCGCGGGGGGGATTTGGGGTTCCCCTCCTGGAGGAGGGGGGGAGCTGTGGCGCGGGGGGGATTTGGGGTTCTCCCTCCTGGAGGAGGGTGGGAGCTGTGAGGAGCTGGAAAGGCTGGGGGGACCCAGAGGAGGCCCCGGAGCTGCTCCAGGGCTGAGCCGCTCTGCTCTGGATCCACTCTCCTGGATCCTTCCTGGAGAAGGGGAGGATGCAGGGAGAGCTTCCAGCACATTCCAGGCCTGCAGGGGCTCCAGGAGAGCTGCAGAGGGACTGGGGACAAGGGACAGGAGCCAGGGAATGGCTGCCAGTGCCAGAGGGCAGCCATGGATGGGATCTTGGCCATGAGCAATTCCTGCATCCCTGCAGTGCCCAAGGCTGGATGTGGTTTGGAGGAACCTGGGCTAACGTGAGGTGTCCTGCCCGTGGTTTGGGTTGGAACTGGATGATCTTTAAAGCTCCTTCCCAGCCAAACCATTCCAGGAGTGTGTCCATGAAAAGCAGGAGTCAGGGAGGGCAGGGCCCAGGCTGGGTGGGTGATCTGTCCTTGGTGCCCTCCCTGAGCTGGACCTGCCCTCCTGGAGCCAGCAGGATGGGATGGGGCTCAGAGGGGTGGCAGCACCTTGGGGCCCACACCCCGGGGCTGTGCGGCTGCAGGGAGGGAATGAGGATGAGGAGGAAAGAAATAACATCATTTTTGGGGGAGGAACCCAGCCCAGCCACGCTTTGGGGGGTACAGCAGGGAGCTGCTCAGCCAAACCCAGCAGGCCGAGTTTTCCTGGAGGCAGGGACTGCTCCCACCCACCCCACAGCCCACCAGGGATCCCCCACAGCCCACCAGGGATCCCCCACAGATGAGGAACACGCTCCCCACATGCATTTTCCACTTGATATGCCCAGAACTGGGACCTGTGGGGCTGAGGAGGGGATCAACTTGGCTTCTCCCATGCCCTGTAACTCTGCAGCTCACCCCAACACCTCCCCACTGGTGGCACGTGAGGGGATCCCACTGCTGTGCATCCATGAGCCCCTCAGAACCCCTCTCCACCACAACTCCCTTCGTCCTGCTCCCTCTCCGTCCCAGCCAGGTCCTTCTGCCCAACAAGCCCTGGCCAGGCCAGACCTGCTCCTGGCTCCTGGGTGAGCCCCCAGGCTCTCCACGGTGGATGTGACACACAGAACACAGAAAGGAAAGCAATCCCCCTTCCTCAGCCCTTCCCCAGTCGTGGATGGGGCCAGCTAAGCAGGAGCAGCTTTTCCCAAGGCTCAGGAATGGATCTGAGGATGCAGGCTGAGGATGGAGCTGGCAAAGGCTCAGGCTGCAGTGCCAAAGGGAGCCTGGTGAGCCAGGAAACACCAACCAAGGTGACACCAAAACAAGCAGGCCCCTCAGGGTCACTGTGGTGGGAAAGGTGGAAAGAGGTGGAAAAATAGCAAGGAGCACTCAACAGAGCTGGGCAGGGGAGGGGAATGGCAAATCCTGCAGGCTGGAGGAGGAACTCCATCGTTGTACTCCAGGGTTGTCCCTGCGCCCACCTCCACCTTTGCTTGGCCAAGAGAGATCATTTAGACATTTCAGAAACTACCCACACCTCTGCTGGGGGAAAAAACAGCTTTTTGAGGTCAACAAATCCTTCCAGCAGCAGCACAGGACGGATGGCCAGCCCTGCCAGGACACCAGGCTTTCCCAAAAAAGCAGCACAATCCCTGTGGGCTGAGGAGCAGCGAGCAGAGCTCTGCCCCAAGGACACGGGTTTGGTAACAGGGGCGGCTCTGTGTCCTGGGATAACTCTGTGTGCAGACAGGAAAGCTTAGGAGTTAATCGTGCTGGCAGGTGGGTGACCCCAGCATCCTCCCCCGGGGTCCCAGCGCGCTCCGTGGCTGGGAAGTGTCCTGGTCCCCCAGCCCGAGGGGTCGTGGCCACATTCCCCAGGCCCAAACAAGGAACTGGTTCCCTGCTTGGCTGCCATGAAAGGCACAGAGTCAGGAGTTCCTGGGCATTCAGGGAATTTCAAACAGAAGAAATAAGAGAGCAGAGCTCAGGCTCAGCCCTGCTGGAGAAAATCTCGCAGGGGGAGCACAGCACATCCCAGCTCAGGCAGGAGCCGGAGCTCTGGCCTGGCGTGCACCTCAAATCCCCGCTCCAGACCAAGAAGCCACCTAAGCCCTTTGGCTTTCTGGGGTTGTTAGCCCAGAGCAGATGAAGCATGGACAGCCCAGGCAGCAGAGCCACCACGCCGTGGGCACAGCCCACACGTCCCCCAGCCCGAGGGGTCGTGGCCACATTCCCCAGGCCCCTCAAGGAACTGGTTCCCTGCTTGGGTGTTCAGCAGTGGCTGCCACGAAAGGCACAGAGTCAGGAGGAGGCTCCCAGCTCCTGGGGCATTCGGGGAATTTCAGGCAACAGAAGAAACGAGAGAGCAGAGCTCAGGCTCAGCCCTGCTGGAGAAAATCTCCCAGGGGGAGCACAGCACATCCCAGCTCAGGCAGGAGCCGGAGCTCTGGCCTGGCGTGCACCTCAAATCCCCACTCCAGACCAAGAAGCCACCTAAGCCCTTTGGCTTTCTGGGGTTGTTAGCCCAGAGCAGATGAAGCATGGACAGCCCAGGCAGCAGAGCCACCACCAGCCCGCGCGGCGCCCGAGCCACCATCCCTCCGTGCTGCCCAAACTGCCCAAACCGGGGCTGGGGAGCCCTGGCAGCCAAGGGGGTGCTGGGGAAGGGGGAGTTGGTTCAGGCAGGGCTCGGCCATCTCTGGGAGAGCAGGGAGGTGTCCCTGAGAGGAGGATCCCGTTCTGCCTGCGATTAGCGCAAATCGCCTCAGCGGCTGACGTGGCGGCCCTTGCTGCCAGGGGTGGGAACAAACCACAGCAGCAGAGGCTCCGAGCCTGCTGGGCATTAGAGCAGGGCTGATCGCCCTTGGGAGAGAGACGATTAAAGCACTGAGATGCTGTAATCAGGTCTGGGATTGGCCCCGCGCTGCATCTGCTCAGGCCTGCGCCCTGATTAGCCCTAATCTAGCTGGCATATGTTAATCTAAAGCATGGATTTCAGACCCTTTCAATTGTATTAAAAACAGGAAATCCATTAGACAAAAAAAACCCCTCCAAACATCCAAACCAACTTCTCGAGTCTTTGGGAAATACGTTCCTGCAAAGAAAGTGGAGCAGAACAGGATCCCGCAGGAAGCCGTGGCTGCTCAGACCAGCTCCTGCCCGGCAGGGACAGCAGCAGAGGTGATGGACCACACACAGAGCAGCACAAACCGTGCCCACGGGCTCCCAGGAAGATGCAGCCAGGCTGTGCCTTTGCTTCCCCATTGTGAAGGCACCCACAATTCCCCTCCTCTCCTGGAGCCAGCTCCAGGCAGCTGGGAGATGGTGGGAAAACCTTCTCAGCACCCTCGTGCTTGAGGGAAGAACCCAAGAGTGGAGCTGTTCCCTGAGGGGACTTTATGGGTTGTGATGCCACAAGAAACACTGCTGGGCATGGAGGAGGAGGAGGGACACGAGTCAGGTCATGGAGCAGCACAGAACTATTGCTTTTGGGAGTTCTTTTATGGGACAAAATGGAAGATGCACAAGGACTTGAGCCATCACCTTGGAGCCCCTCAGAGAGCACAGGACATGGTCTGGTTTGGAGCAAGGCAGCATCACCTGGTGAACACCCAAACTTTGGCTGGTGCTGCTACTGGGGATCCAGTGGCTCCCGAGGCCAAGGCTGACTCCTTGCTCTGGTTTTTGGACACCAAAGGCCTGAGTGCTGCCAGCTGTGAGCACTGCAGAGTCATCCCAGTGATCCCACCAGCCCCTCAGCCCTGTTTCAGCACCAAAGGGAAAAGGCTGAAAAAAGTGGAATTTTCCACTGGAATTCCTTGGCTGTTGACGTCCAACTCCTTCAGAGGAGTTTGTTTCCATCAGCACTGGGGGGACACCAGCGCAAACTGTGCTGGACCATCCTGCTGAAGCCTTTCGTGGCAGACGCTCCTGCACCTTCTCCTTCCCCTCCCCTGGAGGCAGGCCTGAGGAATCCAGCAGCAATTCCTGTGCTCAGGAATGCTCCACAGGGCCCCAGCACACAGGGCAGCAGATGCCACCTCATCACCACGCTCCTCGCAGAGCCAAGGGTGACTTTGGAAGATGTGATGGAAGAGTTCTTGTCAATCATTCAGAACGAGTAGGTTTCAATACACACAAAAAAGAAAAAAGAAAAAAAATCAAGCCAGAAGACCTCCAGAAAATGAAATGTTTGCCCTTGGTGGGCAGCACAACACAGGGGCACTGGGCATGCTTTGGTCTGCATTCCCAGGTGTGAAAACATCAAGGCTGATGCAGGTGAGTAGAGAATAATCATCTTTTCTGACTGTCTTTCCCCCTGTAAGACAGGAATTGAAGTGCAGCATGGAAACCTGCACTTAGGGAGTGGAAAAAATCCCAGACAACAGCTGAACACAAGGCTGGTGAAGCTCTGGAGCAAAGTCTCTGTCACTGGAGGTGCTTTAGAGGAAGTAAGACCGAGGCTGGCTCAGGAAAGGGGCTGGTCCTACAGAATCCTGGAGCAAAACCATTTCTGTCCTCCCCAAATGCACTTTTGGACACCACCTGGAGTGTTACTGCCAACGCTGCTCAGCACAAACGTTAAAATGTCCCACAACTGATTTTTATCAGATGTTTCCTTTGACTGGGAATTGTGAAGATTTAAAAAAAATATCCTCTTGACCAGCTCCCTTCTGGAGAGCTGACTGGAGAGGC